TGGGTATAGCTTGCTCATCTAGAGCATATCATCCAGTTGGAAAGGGACATGAGGACTGGCTTCTGTTTTCAAGATGCACAGCTTAAATCGGAACTTGAACTAGTTAAAAGTGAAGACTAACTCATAACCCTCCCTCAGGGACTGTAGATTTTTAAGGCAGGGATTGAAAGGGCGAATTTTACACGTCCTTTAAGACTAGAAAGGCAGAAGACCCCTACTGTGGCCAGGTGCAGAAAAGACAACAAACAACAAACAAAAACTGGGAAAAACAGCCTCAGAATAATTCTGTCTTTATCTGGCTAATTCTTGCTCAGCTGCATGAACCACTTAGACAGATAATTTCCTTCCCGAAAGGGTGCCCGATGACCTAGATTAAGCAGTGTCCACATGTATTTTTTGATCTCAAGGTGAGAAGGTCAAAGCCATGCCTCAGCAGAAGTTCTGTCATCTGTCTCGAGAATCTTCCTCGTGTCTACCGCACCAGCTTTTCCCTTCCCTTGGCATTGTTAAATCACAGCCTAGTTTGACACAGTCAAAGGGTCCCAGGTCTATTTTATCACTAGGGTCATTAAGGGAGGCCTGGGACACCCTTAGTGACTAGAGGTTATGTTTCTCCATGACTCAGTTTCCTCTTTCTGTGGGATATAACCTTTCCTATCTCTTGTTATTGCTCCTTCATAACCCACTTCGTTGCTTCTGGCCTCAGGATGTCTCAACAGTTTTTCCTCCCTAGATCTGCAGACGCCGCAACCACACAAAGGAGTCAGTCTTGGCGTGCTAGCCAGGAGGGCGGCCAGGGTGCTAGACTGGGCCCTTTTTGCCCCACAGGCGCTGGCCTCCATCTTTTTTGGTTCTTGGTAGCCGGCAGTCACAAAAAAACCAAAAACAAACAAACAAACAGAAAAACCGTTCTGGGGCGGGGCATCCAGTGCCAGGCAGCCCAAGACCTTCCCGGATGCTGTCCTCGTACCTACAGCCGGCAGTCTCCTGCCGCAGCAGCCGCTGCAGGGCGGAGGCCGCGCCTGGTGAGCAGGGCGGGGGAAGCCGCGGTGCAGTCGCGCGCTCGCCGCCAGCGAGGCCATTGGCTCTGCGCAGTCACCCCACGCGGGGCTGCAGCGGCGGCCTCCGCGGATTGGCGCGCGGGCAGGCGTGTGCATGCCGCCCGGGCTGTACCGAAGCCCCTCCGTCGCGGGCTTGCGCCCCCTCCTAACCCTCCTGGGACGATCACCCCTCCATTGTGCCCTGCATTGCAGATGAAGCATCTGGGGCCGCTGCCAGCCGCAGTCACCGCTCGCCCGCCCGGGCTCACAGAAAGGGCGCGAAAGGCGCGCTCCCAGCTCGGGCGCACGCACCGCGCCCTGCGCGCACTGCAGCAGTTGCTGCCTGGGCGCTGCGCCCCGCCTCCCCTATCTCATTTGCATATCCCACGATTCTGGCCAATCAGTGAGCGTCTCTCGCGAAGCGGATGGCTTTTCCCTGGGAGGAAAGGGAGTGGCTGGCGGCGCATGCGCAGTGGAGGCCGACTGGAACCAAGGCTTTTATTGCTGTAGTTTATTTCCACCCCCTTCCCTCCTGTTCTCTCTCCCTCTCTTTCTTTTTTTCCGCCCTAGCTGGATCTGTGTTGGAGGAGAGGAAAAGAGACAGAGGATTGCATCTGTCTCTTATAGTTTTGAAATCTCCTAATAGCAAGATCAGTTAAGGGATTGTACCTTTTTCCTACAAATATAAATATATACATATTTTAAACCAAGTCTTTTTTCCTGCTATCTTTGCTTTAAAGCTGTCCTCTTGAAATTACTTCCCCCCTGCCCCCCCGGAGAGATGTCTTATCAGGGGAAGAAAAATATTCCACGCATCACGGTAAGTTTGGTACTTGGGAAAGGCGAGCAGCCTTTTGTGACATAGAATATATAAGAAATGTATTTTAAAGGCTGAGGAAAGAGACTCAACTTTTTCTTCTTGTTGCCAACGGAGGCGATGGTGGCGATGGTGGTGAAGGTGGGGGTTGGGATTGGAGACGTAATAACAGTTATAAGGCACGCAATTTGTAAGGCACTGAAATAGGCGCGAGAGTGGATGGAGGTAGCCTTGGGTAGCGCGCCAGATCCGCTGTATCTTTCATTGTCAGCACGAGATGCTGCAGCGCTGCCCGCGGGGTGCAAGCAAATGGATGCCAGATTGAATATGCATGGTCGACGCTCTGATATTGTTCTCTGGCTGCATGCAGCGAGGCTGGGATCCGGGAGCTTGGTGGTGGGGAGCTGGGAAAACAGATCCTTCCGTGTCTTCCGCCCCCTCCAGAAAGAGCTTTCTGGAGCCTTCCTCCTGTGAGAAAGAGCGAGTTCCAGCTCGGAGGCGTCATGACAGGGAGGGATGCTGGAAAGGGCAGGGTGTACCAGAATGATGCGGAGGGAAGGGAGGATCGGAACTCGATGATGAGCAGAGAAGGGCGGGAGATTTTTGTGGACTCGGAGAACCCTAGGAACCCCCCGGTTTGAGGCTGAGGTCTTGGCAGGGTTTCCGGCTCGCTTTCTCCTCTTTTCGGCTCCTTCCGCCACCAGGGAGGCGGCCGTGGTGGCGCATACAAAGCGGGCTGGGCGGTGGGCGCTGGGGACAGCAGCGAGCAAGCTCGCGGAGGTAATGGCGCTGGCTGCGACTCGCACAGATGGCCCGGCCGATCCCAGACAATGATCGTCGTGGCCGAGGTGCCATCCTCTTTCAGGGCCTCTATCCCAGACAAGCACCTCTGCGAGTAATTCACGGTGCTTCAGGGATGCAGAGGGTGGTGCCCTGCCCTCCCCCTCTCCTGGCATCTTTTACTGGGAAAAAAAAAATCTCACCGGTCTAATTTTCTACATCCTCGGAGATTCCAGGCAGGGAGAATCGCCAAGGAAATTCATTGTTATATAATGCTGTGCGGTAGCACTGGCCAGCTTGGACCCAGGGATACGCAGATTCGAAGGCATCTCAAATAGGGAAGATAGGTTTTAAGGCCGGATTTGAGGATGAGCTTTTGCTCTGCTTGTCTCTGGGGCCCTTGGACCCTGGCCTCTTTTTCCTCAGTGCACAAGGACACACCCATCTGCAGGAGTAGGAACTGTTGCCCAGAGGAGGGGGCGTGTGCCTGGGGTTTCTAGCTTGGGCTGAGTTGTTCTTAGGCGAGGGTGGGTACTAGCCTTTACTCAAGACACTCCACCCCCCAACCCTCGCGCGCAAATCCTCGGTACCAGATCCCAAAGGGCTGACACACCCGATGCAATATTGAATGTTCATCGCGCTGAAGGATGGCATCTGGGTAGTGGGGGTGGAGAGATTTCCAGCAAACCTCACGATTTGCTGTTTTTGTGCATGATCAAGACAAAATCGTTTTGACAGTATAGAGGGGAAAAATAGGCAACCAACAATACCACTTTTTAAAAGAGCGCCCCCTCCATCCTTTAAAGTTACCTAGTTCTGTGCTCTAGGACCTACTGATTCTCCCACTCTGTCACTGTGGCCAACCTCTTATGTAAGAAGCCTTCTAGAAGGCTCTAGATTGAACAGACTATAATTCCGGCTCCCCTCCCCCGCCCGTTGGCTGGGGATTCACAGTGATGTTTTGTGACAGGTATCGCTGTGAAGAAGGGGAGATAAGAAAAGGCAGGACTTCTTGCCTCCCAGACTACAACAATCCCCTCAGGGGAGAAAGGAGGGATCCTTGCAAGCTTAAGCCCACGGAGCCTCAGTTTCCTCACGGTAATAGGATCTTGCTCCATTCACTTCAGAGAGGTTCCAAGGCTCTGATAGCATGCTATGAAGGGTAGGTTTAATAAAGATTTTTTGTTTACCCTCTCCGTGTTGACTGTTTTAAAGGGGTTTCGCAGTGTCTTCACTTGAATAGATGACCCTACAGTGTAAAACTAAACCATCTTGTTTTTCAATGTAACAGAAACAATAAATATTTTCCAAGTCTAATAATGGCTACATTTGTGCACAACTGTATCTTGTTTTCTTTGTTCTGTAGCATTACATGAATCTTTTAAGGAAACTCTATAGTTTCCTTTTCTTGGTAGTTGCAAAATGCAAGTGGCACTTGCTGAGATTGTATTTTGTAACAGAGTTCTGGGTTGACCGTTATCAAGATGAATGCTGTTCAGAAAGGTGCAGCGTAATAAACGCATGGGTCCACTTGTACAGTTTATATCTATTCTGAAATAATAAATCTGTACATCCTCCCCACCAGAGATGGTGACACTGCATACATCCCACCCACAATATTTTGGATAGCTGCGCATCAGAACAAAGAGTTTCTTTTACGTGCTCTTGGCTTTCTCAGTTGGAGTATCATTTAATTTTTCTTTTCATAAAAGCAGGTCAACCATTTGTAGTGGTATTAGACTTAAAATCTCCTGTCTCTAGTTTATCATGAAGCTCTGTTTCCTACCTGTTAAATGAATGTGTGTTTTTATAGCCCCTCCCTTGCCCACTGCACTTGCTGTCAGTGATTCACCGCACAGATAAACGAACACAGAGTGGACTCGCAGAGCTGGAAACTTGTTATGGCCGATGTTCCTGTGTTTGTGTAGTGTATGCTATGACAACAGACTTTTGGTCAGGTTTCCCCGACAAGAACTTTGCCAAGACATGACTTTCCTACATGTGGGTGCAATTTTCTTTAATTAATTAATTATTTTTTAAAAGATGAGGTTTAGCCAGAAATAATTTCAGAAACATTGTCTTCTTTTGCTGGGATGCTCTGTAATGTCCTCTTTTGTTTTCCGGTCTGAGGTGTTCTTTAAGAGATGGTTGTTTATCAAGGGTGAGCATGGCCAGTGTCTTCTCAGGCAAGGAACAGCTTGCCTAGCATAGGTTCACCATGGTTAAAGCATCTTCCAAAATCTCCTGGCTTTGAGTATCAGTCTTGAATGGTAAGAAACATGCCCTTCACCTCCCTTTCCTCAGGACTGGTGCTTCTCCTAGGTCATTTATGTGTTGTGACTTTGTTCTCCTCTCTGTTATAGAGTGATCGTCTTCTGATCAAGGGCGGCAAGATTGTGAATGATGACCAGTCCTTCTATGCAGACATATACATGGAAGATGGGTTGATCAAGTAAGTACGCTTCATTGCTACGTGGAGGTGTCTGTGTGTGTGTGTGTGTCTGCACTGTGTTCCTAAGTTTCAGTTTTGTTCATGTAAATAGTCTCAAGCTGTAATGTAATGACTCCAAGTCACTGAGCTTGGGCTGGGAATGTTGCAACATTGGTAGAATGTGCATCTGGCATTGGTCAGGCACTGCCAAAAACCCAAAAGTGACCAATTTAGCATCTCTTAAGCTTGTTTTTATTGGTGGTAATTAATAAATTTGGGGATTCAGATTCGGGGAATTCGAAGTCAAAGCACACACAAACACCCATGTATTATGTAATTTACTATTTTTAACAGAGGTGACACAACATCCTCTTGTTGCCAGCTCGTAGACTGGGTTTGTGATAGGCTACATTGTAGTTATTTGGGATGGAGTACTCAGGCATAGGACATAAATGTGGAATGCAGCCTGTCTTGTTAAGATGTGTATCTGCTTGCTTAATCAGGAAGGGCCACAGGACACTGAGTTAATTACCAGCAACTCAGATAAATGACTGCCTAATCCTGGAAGGATTTTAGAGTTTGTTTATTTTTTAAAATATTTTCTTTTAGATTTATTCTATGTATATGGATATGTTGCTTCTATGTATGTATGTGCACCATGTGTGTGCCTGTTGTGTCCTTGAAAGTCAGAAGAGGGCATTGGATCCTGTGAAACAGGACGGTGGTGAGCCACCTTGTGGGTGCTAGGAATTGAACCTGTGTCCTCTGAAAGAGAAACAAGTGCTCTTAACCCTTGAGCCATCTCTCCAGCCCTAAGTTTCAATTCTTGAAATGGTTCCTAGCACAAATAAGGCCACCCGTGTTGTTTGTGCATTGGGTTCTAAGTTTGGGTAGCTGGGACTCTGGAGGGTTAATTGAACAGATTCTACAACAATATCTTCATGCCTTTCCTCTGGGGACAGCTCACAGGCTCTGGAGAGAGAGCACATCTGCTCAAAGACAAACATCACAGTGAATGACATCTTTTAAATAAGCAGTGTTCATCAAACTCCAGCAGCAAGTGAGTCTGGAGGAGGGCTAGCTGGACTGGCTCTGATTGCTTGGAAGCTCACACCCTGACTTATGAAGCCAAAATGGGCCTTAACATTTCCATAGTTAATACTTTCTCCATGTGTGTTTGTCTGTAACGGTCCCAGCTCTGAGCAATCACAGGCCATGACTTTCTTATTCCTTTGGCATCCCAGTCATAGGAGAGCGTGATGGGTCTGGCTGAAGGACACTGGCTTGGAATGGAGCAGCCTGATGCTATTGTTAGTATAGTTCATTTGTCTGAGAAACTCAACTCCTTTATTCATTTTTCTTTTTAAAAATTGGTGGAAAGATGTGGTAAAATTAAAAAAAAAATTTAATTGGATGATGAGATCTTGTCTCAAAAATAAAACCCTACAGCCTGGTGTTGTGGCACACGATTTTAGTCCCACATTTTGGAAAATATAGGCAGGTTGTTCTCTGTGAGTTTGAGGTTAATTTGGTCTACATAGTGAGTACCAGGGCAGCCAGGGCTCTGTAGAGCCCTGTCTAAAACATTGTCTCAAACACAACACAACACAACACAACATAACACATCCTCACAAACAAAAAAAGCTGCCACAAACGCCCCTCCCTACAAAAGGGTACGATGCACGTCCCCAACATCATGGATATTTGTTTTCCAACCTTTATCTGAGTCCATGGTCAACTGCTTCCACATTGCAGTTGTTGGAATGACAGTGTTTACTTTTTTCCTTGTTCTTTTTTTCCCCTTGTTTTGCTCTCTCTCTCTCTCCACTCTTCCACCTCCGTTTTTCCCACATTGAAAAGGAAAATAGGGCAAACAGATGTTGGGAAAGAGAGTCAGCTCTAGAGTGAGTTGTTATTGGAAAACTAGCCGAATGGGGGATGTCAGGAGAAGGTGGAGGGAATGTTGTGTGTGAACGAGTGTTTTGGGGCTTTGTTATTATTCAATCTTAGAGGTTTCTGATAACTTGCCATTGAATGGGAGTTTGCTGCCTCATGTAAATTACGTTTCTTTAGTCCATGTGGGCTAGGAACTCACTCTGTAGCCAAGGCTGACCTTGAACTGGACATAATCTTCATGTTAGCCTTTCAAGTGCTGGGATTATATGAGGGCCTGCGCCTAGTTTCCTAGTTCATTCCGGATCTGCTCATGAGGATGAGAAGTGGGTGGGGCTCCCATGAAAGATTAGAGCAACTACCCAAAAAGTGCTCATTGTGCAGGGAAGAAGGTACGTTTATAGCTTAATGAAAACAGATGTCAGATCCAACTTGAGTCCACATCCCCCTGGCACCTCTCTCACTAACTCTGCTTTCTTAGGCAAATAGGAGAGAACCTGATTGTGCCAGGAGGAGTGAAGACCATCGAAGCCCACTCCAGAATGGTGATCCCCGGAGGAATTGACGTGCACACTCGCTTCCAGATGCCTGACCAGGGAATGACATCAGCTGATGACTTCTTCCAGGGAACCAAGGCAGCCCTGGCCGGGGGCACCACCATGATCAGTAAGGCTTGGGCACCGTCACCTTTAACTTGGATTCTGGGCAGTGTGAAGATGAGTCTGTGTCACTAGAGTCTTCCGCTGGGTGAACTGAGCAGAGGTTTGATCTACCCAATAAGGAAACCACAAGAGAGTGAACTGTCTTTATTTCCTTAGCCTTAATTTCTGCTCAACTTTGCTTCCACAGTTAAACTTGAGGATGAGCTTGGGGGAATTGTAGAAGATGAAAGGAGGTCTGGTTACTCTGTGTGCTTTGACACTTTCAACTTCCATGACCTCAAAATGTGCCTGGGTTATGAAAATATGGCATTTGAAGTCATAAATATTAGATTATAGAAATTCTAAGGATTCTTCTCAGAATGAAGTTAGAATAAGGGAAGTGGTTTTTTTTTTCTTTTTCTCAGACAAGGTCTTAAGTAGCCCAGGCTGGCCTTAACCCCTCTGTTCTGTACCTGAGGTTAGTTCCTGATCTTCATGTCCCTGCCTCCCCAGTGATGAGATGATAGGCCACACTCATATCCAGTGGAGTGTTTGCCTGAAACCTCCATTCTAGTGGTAGGAAGCTCAATCAGGGAGTACTTTTCTAACCTGCTCTGAACACTGAATGATCTGGGCTACTGTGCTCGGAACAAGACTCACTATATGAGTTGTCCATGAGATGGGAAAGCTGTAGGCACCCACAGTGGTGCCCTTTTACGTTATCCCTCGGGGTTTTGTGTTCTTGGTTCAACCAAGTCTAAAGTCTATTCACCAGACCCAGCAGCTGTGTTCAGAGTTCGCTCTCGAGTGGTTTGACTCCAGCATGCCTTTTGACTGGTGGGTTGGGGGAGGTGGGAAGCCGCACAGTGGCCTGTCAGAGTCCTTTGTTAGAAAGGGATTTTGTCCAAGGGCAGAAGTCAGTACTCTGTGTCATGGAGGAAGAGTTTAGTGGGTTTGGGATCGACATAGACAGAGCCTCAGTTTGTGCTTTTTGAAGCCCGTCTTCCTGGGTGTTTTTCAGTGATGACTGTGGCTTTGGAGTCTCATCATTTTTTTCTGAAACCAGAGGAGCAATGTCCTGTGTCTCCTGCATTTTAAATTATACCCAGCTCCATGGTGTTCCCGCCATCCTGGTTTTTAATCTGAAGTGTTGGGGACAGCCCTCTGTTCCCAGACAGACCCTCCAGGGGTGGTCTTTGCTGTTCTGCTTTGCTCTAGCCTTGGGGTGATGTTCTTGGGAGAGCCCTTCATGGACACTCCCACCTTGGCTTACTGGTCTCTTTGGCTGTTTGGGATTCTACTGGCTGATTGGTCACTTCCTGACCCCTCCCCCTTTTTTCTGAGTATAGTGAACCAAAAGAAATCCAGACCATTCAAACATCAGCTAGAAAGGCCAAGCCAGGGTGGTAACCAGCCTCGAGTTGAGGTGGACACCAAAGAGGTCTGTGCTTTGTGAGGATTAGCATCCACAAACAACATTTCCCCAGGGAGTGGTTGGGTACATTAAGCATTGCCATGCCTCTGTGACAGGAAAGTACCCTTCACTAGGAATCAGGAGTCTAGGGATCTGGTCTCTTCTTGGCATGAACTTGCTGGGCATTAGATCTCATCTGTACACTAAGTATTTACATAGCTAATAAGTTCTTCCCATTCCCACACTGGCAATGCAATATATACATATATATAATTTTTATATTTACATAGCAAATAAGAAGGTCTTCCCATTCCCACACTGGCAATGTACTAATATATATAGTATTTATATATAATTTATATGCAAATATATACTTATATCTCTATATAAGCTATATATAAATATATTATATATAAACATAATTATATGTATATTTTTCTGTAGCCACCTGTACTTTGCTCTGCAGGTGCAGAAGGGCTTGTTTCCTCTCAGAGTCATCTGGAAGCCAGAAGAAAGCCTAACATGCACCATCTGTCGCTTCCTCCTGTCTCTGACATTGCTCCTTCACTCCTTGCACTTGACCTGAGCCTCAGCTCCAGTCAGCTGGAGTTTGTTCCTTCCCATCCCTCCCCTGCTGCAGGCCATATCCATTCTTGCTACCCTGACATCTCTTTGGCCTTCTCACTCCCTCACTCAGCACCTGTGGACTTCCTTCCTTCCCTGGATGTAGGCATTGTCCCTTACAATGGTTGCTAGGGGAGAGGGCACAACGGCTGGCTCTGTCTCTTGGGATGGGATGGGATAGTGCTGATGTGGGTTCAGGATGCAGTCCGTTTGGCTCAATAGCAAGGGGGCCTGATGAGCAATCTCACGGAACAAGGGCCCAGCCTATCTCTCAGCAGTAGAACTTGCATAGTCGAGGTCCTGAGTTTGAATCACAGGTTGTAAAACCTTGTGAAAGGTGCAAAGAGAAAGACTGAGGGGTAATCAGGTGACTCGGTGTGCTCCCAGCTGTCATACCCAGCCTCTGTCAAATTTGGTAGTTTGTGAAAACAAAACAAACAAACAAAAAACAACAAAAAACACCAGTGACTTGCAAAAATTCCTCGTGGTTGCTAATGAGGACAGGATTCCCAGCAGCCCATGCCTTTCCCCTGAGAGGAGCTATACTGATGCAGAGGAGAGACTGGGATTTTTTTTTTTCTTTTCTGTATTCTGCTTGCTGAGTGCACACACATTCTTCTTGGCTTAAGTGTGTGGCTGAAGCTTGCTTTGCAGACAGGGGCATAGCTTCATGGAACTCAGTGCCTTCTTCTTTAAAGAGTCCCCCTAGCTTCCTGAATACATATTGAGCCAGGAGAGAAGGCTTTGGGTGTTTTCAATTGCAAACTTGATGGGCTTCTGGCTGTGTGGAAACAGCAGTTGGGTAAATTGCTACAAAGCCTGCTCACCCCTTCTCCCTCTCTTCCTCTTACCTCCTCTAATCCCTGTCAGCTGCACAGGTGGGTGAATCTTCACCTCTCCCCTTGCTGGCTTTGGTTTTCCTGTCCCTGGAGGCTCTATTCCCATCTGGCAAGGCTCTACCTGCTAAAGAAAATGCAGCTGAAAAGTTTCCGTGTATAGAAGGTGACACACCACCAGATTACTAGCAGAACATGTTATTACCATAAAGCCAAGCTACTGTTGGGCCTTACACAATGGGATCTTTGTGAGGGACCCAGTGTAGGGTGGTAGGATGCCCTTTGCCCTTTTCATCCAGAGATGGGTGGGCAGAGACGCCAGACATAGCCAGCTGGCAGCATCCAGACTGGCCCCACAGTTGAGGTGGTGGCTGGAGGTGGCTTCTTATGGGGTTTCTGGGAATGCTGCTTCAGGAAAATGGGGATTGGTTCTACGTCCCCCACAAGGATACTAAAATTTGAGAGCACACAAGTCTCTTATGTAAGAATGGCGTAGTATTTACATGTCTCCGACGTACAACTTCCTAGAGACTTTGAATAACCTCTAAATTATTCATCATACCTGATACAATATAAATGCTGGGGGAAATTGTCATGTTGTGTTACTTCAGGGTGTGTTCTAGTTTGCTTTCCTGTGGCTACGATAAACACTATGACCAAAAGCATCTTGTGGAGGAAAGGGTTTATGTCAACTTGCACTTCCAGGTCACAGTCCATCTCTGAGAGAAGTCAGGACAGGAACTCAAGCCGAAGCTCTGGAGGAATGATGCTTACTGCTCCTTCTGGCTCCTGCTTAACTGACTTTTTTATACAGCCCAGGCCTGCCTGCTTAGGGATGGTGCTGCCCACAGTGGGCGGGGCCCTCTCACATCGATCACTGGCTGAAGGCCAATCTGCTGGAGGCAATTCTCCAGTTGAGGCTCTGCCTCCCCAGGGGACTCTATGTTGTCAAGTTTGCAACAAAATAACCAGCACAGGACTTGATGACAAGAAAAGTCCACACATGTTCAGTAAAATGAAATAAAAGGGAAAAAATGGACCTGGGATTAGTGGACTTATCAGATTTACTGTGTGAATACAGAGCACTGTGCAGCTCTCCGAAGCCTGTGCTGGCTTCTCAGGCCAAATCTCCAAGGACAGAAGTTACTGTGCTGACCCAAGTTCAAGGCTTTTCCTGGAGGTGTGGAACCTGGGCACAGTGCACCCGGGTGACTCCTCTGTTGTGTCTCCAGTGCCCAATTCCAGAGCATTGCCTCATGGTCGCACTGGCTTGGTTCCCAGAGCCAGCCTCCTTGGGTCTTCAGGCGTTCTGGTGTGTGTTACCTCTATAGCCTGCCGATTTCCACATTTGCTTTCTGTTCCTGTAGTTTGGCTCCAGTCCTCCGTGGCTGGAATCTTTCCCTCCAAGCTTTGCTTTTGCTGTCTTCTTCCTCTGAATCCTTCAGTGGTCCCGTCCTGCTCAGAGAACACAACCCAAGTTGTCTGCAGTATGGTACTAACCTGCTATCCAGCTTCGACTCCCATTGACTCTGTCTGCCTACGAGAACCCTCACTCTCTGAGGTTCAGCATAGGTGCCTCCTGCCTGCAGTCCATAACTTCTCTGAATCCTGGCAAAAGATGGGCTTTTGTCTCATACCTGTGACACTTAGTTTCTTGTAGTGTGTCCGTTGAGATCCTTTGTTTTAAGTTTCCCACCCAACCAGTGTCAGTGCTAAGAGGGGTGGATGATAGCTGACTGGCTGAATAAATAAAAGAAAACTCAAAGGAGACTTGATTTGAGTGATGTTGTATGACAGCCAGGTATGTTTCAAAGACATCTGTGTGCCTTGTGCTCACTATGATGACAGCAGCTGCTTTAGCTACCCCCTACCAACATCAGTGGCATGGTCAGCTCTGCCAGCAGTTGGGGTGAGCCTAGAGCTCAGGCGTGTCAGCCTGTGGTTGTGGACTAGGCAGGCTCTTTCCCTGAGCTGTTCTTGTGTAAGTGCTCACAATGGTCTGCATAGCAAAGAGAGCTTGCTCTCTGAGGACAGTAGCTGTTGGAGACATGCCCCTAGAAACCCTGGTGGAGTCAGAAGCCTTTCCCCGGACCCTTTGGGCTTGTCCTAGACCTTTCTGTGGATGGAGGACACTTGAGAGGACGTGGCTCA